TGTTCATCCTTATGGACATATTTTTGAATATTTTCACAAACCGTTTCTTTAAGTTTAGTCTTGAAAAAAAAAAGTTTTTTTTCAAATTAAAAGCAAACATCCTTACTGCATAATGAACACGATCAAGTGAATTTCGAACATCATTGAAAATTGCACGAAATGAAAGAATATTTTCTCCAAATTGAATAGCTGTTCGATCTCTAGCGAAAAAAGTCAATCAAATAAATCTTCAAAAAACCCATTCATTTTACATACTCGACATAAGTTGCCACAGTAGAAAAATAGTCAATTAAACAAGCAATAAGATAAATTTCTAAATAGAAACAAATCCTTTTTTTTTGTACAGCATGATTGAAAATCAGTAATGAAGTATAATAGCGAGAAATTTGCATCTCTTCATTCACAAATCATAACAGACATCTTGTTGTCTGTCACGATCTATGGCACTGGTAGAACTCTGATGGATGAATGGAAGAAATTATAGATGAGAAAGGTTCAGTTCGAAGTTCTTGGAAACTAGACTGGCTCCGGCCACTTCCTCAACAAAAAAAAGTCAATCGATTCTACATCCATAAGGAATTTATTATGCTTCACATATACTGTCATCAGAGTTAACAATAAAAACAATTTTTTATGATTCTCGCTTTTTTTCTCTTTTTTGTAGTACCTGGTAGATTAAAAAGTGTGTAATAAACATAAATACGATCATCACCAGTTATGTATTTATTTGGATAAAATTCACGAACTTCATATCTAAAATGGAATTTTAAGGATAAAAATTAATGAAAAAAGAAATTTTTACCCAGAAAGAAATTTAAAACCATGAACAACTGTAAGAATATTTCCATGTGCATCAACTTTAAGTAAATTCCCATATAATTTATCATACCAAAGACCCCTATGAATGACAGAAAAAGAAAATCTTTTGAATAAGAATAATAAATATAATTAAATTATTACCGTAAAGGAAATGTTCGATCATAAACAAAATCTCGAATTTGTTCCGGATAACCAAGATCAATTAACGATTCAATAACTCGTTGAAATGTTAATTCTTCAAATTCCGGTGATTTATATAAAGCTAATGTATAATCCATATCAAAACCATAAAATTTGATTCGATCCAATTGTAAACTTCGATTAACAAATATACTAAAATTTAAAAAATAAATCGAATAAAAATTGTTGTCTTATTTTTTTGTAATTTAAATTATTTTCTTACCGATGACCTGGTTCACGTTTTGTTCTTATATTTCGTTTCTAAATAAATTTAAATTGATTATCTTAGAAAAAACAAAAATTTTTTTACCCGTAATTCAGTATCGGATGTAACCGATTCATTAATATGATCACGACGCTTCATTTCATAAATTTCTTTTTAAATCTAAATAATTAAATTCAAAATATCAATTAAAACAACAAAATATTATTTACTATGTTCATTTTTATCACAAACATAAGCTAACCACGACAGTTATTAACAATTTATTAGGGTTGCTTTGCATCCCAAATTATCAACGCCAAAGACGTTTCATTTTTTTGATATTCGACATACATATATGTCAGCGTCCAAACTGAGATTACGTCCAATCTCAGATTGGCCTAGGCGAATGTCGGATCCGAGATTGGACGCGTCCAATCTCGGATTCACGCAATTCTGTTCATTAAAATATCAATTACCCTTAGACAGACCTTGGATTCAAACTTTTTTTTGAAATTATGTTCACACAATGCCGTTTTAAGTATTACAAGCATTTATGAAGAAGCTATATTTAGACTCAAAAATGTAATAAAAGTTTTTCACAAAAGTTGTTGTTCTCTAGAAATTTATTCATAACTCCTAAAATTTTATTCAAATCTGCCAAATGACAATTGTGCCAAACAAACTGGCATTGTGTGAACATAATTCAAAAAAAGAAAGTTCGAATCCAAGGTCTGTCTAAAGGGTAATTGATATTTTAATGAACAGAATTGCGTGAATCCGAGATTGGACGCGTCCAATCTCGGATCCGACATTCGCCTAGGCCAATCTGAGATTGGACGTAATCTCAGTTTGGACGCTGACATATATATATATGTTTATATTTGTGCTTATCGGACTAATCTCAGAATTTTACAACATGATACGAAAAAATCAAACCTGTTTTTTCGTTAAGTACAATATGATTATTAAATATAAATGCATGGAAAAAGTAGAAGAAAAAAATCCAAAACATCAATCTTATGAAGTAGTAAAATACTTTTATATTATCATCAAATGGATTTATAATCTGATTCAAGATTGGTAAATTGCGAATAATCATATTAGTTAATTTCATTTATGTCTGTTCTTGTTTTCTTAATGTCAATTTTCAAAATATACATCGTAAGATAAGACTTTGAACTAGTGTATTTCAAGAACAACAATTAAATTTGATTCACTGATGTTGTTAGTCTATTTCATTAACTTTTTCTAACAGTGAAGATGTATGTGTTATTAGTTAATAAGATTATATATATTCGAATCAAATTAAAGCTTTCATCATCATACTAATAAAGGACACCGCTAGATAAGGTCATAAATCTGTCACTCTTGTAGATTTCATTTTCAATAGGTTAGAAAGATAGAAGACGAAATTCTGCCCACTTACTTTGTTTTTATTGAATGCAGAAAGAAAAATAAATTTCAAGGACTACGTGACCTTAAGGTCGTCTATGATTTTAGGATGTTTTGATTAATAGCTAGAGTACCTGTCATTTTTCTTCTGTAAAGTCAATGTGAATCATAATAGCGTAGACAGACGCACTTTTTCATGCACTATAAGATAACATGTTATTCATATTTACATTTTTGACTTTTCTCTTAGATTATCCAGGATCATATGAGTACGATATCTTACCCATTTGACCCTGTCCAATCTAAGAGAGAAGTTTAAAATAAATATGATTACTACGCCCTCTTGTAGATCATGAAGAATTGTGTCGATCTACGCTAATACTACTTTTCATATTCTGATTATAAAAATAATAATTGCAGGTACCATAGCTATTAATCGAAACATCTAAACGTGATAGATCTCTCACATAACATAGTCTTCGAAGCCGTTGAAAGTACAATCTAGAAGGTGACAAATTTATGACCGGGATATTCGATTTTTATGATAGATGTAAAGTACTCGCAATTATAAATTTGAACAGATTTGTTTTTCATAACGGTTAGATAGAACTCATCGAGTTGCATACGAAAAAGTTTGTTTCAAATCAAAATCAAAACCGTTTAACAAAAATTATCTAAGATATTGTTATTCTCAAATATTAGAGAAAAATGGCCTAACATTCTAATTGTTACAAAAAATTTTTTTTTTTTATTCAACTCGATGCACTCAATCCAACAATCGAAAAAAAAAATAAATTTGCTGAAATTTTCAATTACGATCACCTTACATATAACTTAAAATTCAAACATCTTGGTTCCTGTACGTTAAAGATAGTTTGTATTTCAAATTTGTTAGTTTGATCAAAATATGTCCTATCTTATTAACTAATAACACAAATATCTCTATCGTATATGATATCTGAAGGAGCAAAGGTAAAATATAATCTCAAATATACTTAATGTTTAAATGAAACTCTAATTGAAGTCTGTATACATATCAAGTAATATATAGAAGTTATTTAAACTCTACACAACTAAGTACGATCACATAGACTAATCTATTCAATATTCTCTTTTAGTCTTATAAAGTGGATTATTAAGCGTTTGGTTTACGAACGTTAGTGGGTTGTTAAAGCAATGAGGAAGACATTTAAAGTTGTTAAAGTCAATTGTCTCATATTTGTTCTTTTCTCTTGAAACATTAACATTTTTCCTATCGTAGACTAAAGCAATTTTACCTATAATTTCATAGAAAATATGCTCGTTGCTTTTTTTGTAGTAATGAAATATTAATTAATATCATTGATTTCATAGTCACGAATAAAAAAAAATGTTAAACATTAGAAAAAGAAATCAATTATCGAATGAAACCTATTTATACCTCTTTGAACCAAAAAAGAAATACTTATTTGGCGCACTATCAATGATACTAAAAGATATTTCTTTCTTACAAAATACACTTGTTAATAGTGATGTTTAGTTGAAATCTTGAAACGATGATTAAATCACAACTTTGTTTACAAAATACAATTGACATTTAGAAAAAGAAACATAATACCATAAGCTCATAAGAGACATCGACATGCTCGTGCCGTTCTGTCAAGAACCACTTCCAAGAAAAAAAATAGAGAGCAGTACAATCAAGACATTTTTTTTCTATCGGAACAAATCCTTAACACGAAGCGTCTCATTGATTATCACACGCTTGATCGACTGACTATTATATTAAACGTGTCTGTTTTCCAATGTTTATTTCAACGTGTATTTCGTAAAGAATAGTTAATAATTGGACCGTTATTCAAGATTCATATATAAATATCTTCCTCATTAAGAGGATCTTAATATTATTTGTAGAAAAGGTCATCTTAGAACGGGTATTTTGAACAATTTGATAGATGGCGTTAGTGAATGATACTATCAAAATAGAAAATAATATGATTTAACGACGTTGTAAGCTATATGCCTAATTTTTTTCTGCTGTAGAATTATAAAACTATACGAAATACGTAAGTGCATCTGATGGAATTCCTTGTTGAATTCATTCGATGAGTCATTCACGTCGGGAAATCATCTGGTGAAATCCAGATTATATTTTCTAAACTTCCATTTATCACTAAGCGCTACTATCGTTTATAAAAAAAAAATCTTAATCTAAAAGAATTGATTTTTAATTTGTATTAGTTTTATTTTTATAAAAGAAAAAATTTATGTGTGTTTTTTTTTTCTTTCAACCAATAGTATCATAGGTCTCTAAACATTCAACATATGGTCGGTTTAATAATAATACTGATCATTTGCCAATAAGAATTGCTTAATTTCATTGAATCTTTTTTCTGTTTTTCTAGAAATTTTGTTAACATTTATCATGCAGATCTTTGTTAAGGTAGAATTTAATTTGAAATTTAAAACAAAAACTAATTATTCATTATTCTTTTTTTAGACTCTTACGGGTAAAACTATTACTCTCGAAGTATGTTTTTATTAGATGTTATGTATGAAGAGTAAACATTTTGAAAATAATTTTTTAGGTCGAACCATCGGATACTATTGAAAATGTAAAAGCTAAAATTCAAGATAAAGAAGGTATTCCGCCAGATCAACAACGTTTAATTTTTGCTGGCAAACAACTTGAAGGTAAACAATTTTTGATTTAATAAAAAAATAAATAAACATTTTCTGTTTAGATGGTCGTACACTTTCTGATTATAATATTCAAAAAGAAAGTACACTTCATTTGGTTTTACGTAAGTCACTATATACATATTATTCATATAAAATTCTTATTTTTTTTTAAAGGACTTCGTGGTGGTACTATTGAACCAACACTTCGTATGCTTGCACAAAAATATAATTGTGATAAAGTCATATGTCGAAAGTATGCATCGAAAAAAAAAAGAAGTTTTGAAAAATAAACATTTATTTTGTTACTATTTAGATGCTATGCACGACTTCATCCACGTGCTGTTAATTGTCGTAAACGTAAATGTGGTCATACCAGTAATTTACGACCAAAAAAGAAACTCAAATAAGCAGTTCTTTTTTTGTTCATCCAAAAGAAAAAAACGTGAACATCGTTTAAAATAATAAAAGAAGAATAAAGAAAAAAAAATCCGATTATATTTCAATGGCTTTTTTTAATTTAAAGTTTATGAAATTTTCAGCAAAAATATAACTAAAGAAATATTTTATTCTGATGTGCATAGTTCAACATCCTTGAAAATTTATTAGTTAACTATTTCCTTTATAATTGGAGAAAAAAATGTTTCGCTGAAATAAAATGATAGTTGATATTGAACTAATTGAGATAGAACTTCTAGATTATTTTTTATAATAAATACTGATCGGAATTGAAATGAATAATAGAATGTTATTGGGATTAGGCATATATGCAATAGCATTATTTGAGTTTTTCAAACTTTTGTTATGGCAAAATGTCAACCTTTGACAATCAAACGAAGAACGATCCAATGAACGGTTTATTGGAATGAAAGTTTGAAAGGAAGCTGAAAAAAAACTCAAGTTCATTGGGTTTGTTTTTTTTGATTGCTTCTAGTCCATACTCTAATCATGTTGACGTAACCTCTCTTTTGACATTCTTTAATATCGTCCTCCTACGTCAATTTCCTACTAACGAAAAAATGTTGTGTCATATGATTCAGTAAGTAAGTACATTTTTCTTCATTAAGTCAAAAATGATCCAACCGGTTTGAATGTATATCTAATTGAGATTTGGACCAAAAATAAAATAACAATCTTCAACTCAATTAAGGGAGGGAGTGTTTCCCCAAACATATCCTCAAACTTTGCCAGTTTGTAGAGAATACCTTCAATGGTATGCCTATGAAATAAACAACGATTTAGTTAAATATTGGCTGAGTTATTAATTAATTAAGTTCAATATTAATTAAATATTTTAGGTTGAGAAGCACTTTTTAAAAACTTTCCAATATTTCATATCAATGTTAAATTTAGTTCATTCTAATGTAGCTTTGTAGAAAAATATTTGTAGATATAGTTTCATGCTAAAAAATCTTAAATATGACTTTCTTTTGTGCCGTTTAATCACTAATTAGTCATAATTAATACTAATTAGTGAGACTCTAGTGCAAAAAGTAAATCTTCCTAATGTTCAAATAAATTAAAAAAATCCGTGCAATATACCATTCGATATAGATTTTTGAGGTCTATCGATTGCTCAACCCATTTCTTCTAAAAGTTTCCATTTTCGAAAAAACAGCTTCGATATCATGGATAACATGCTAGAAAATCGGCTTGTATTTGGCGATTTTGATCAATATGTTTTCATTTATGGTCAAAATGAATATGATATTCGAAATCAACATCAAAAACTGAGTCAAAAATATATATCTTTTTGCACAGCAAATTTCTGTCATAATTACACCTGTATTCCCTCTCAGCTTTTTTCAAACTATTTCGTCTGTGAACACTACGGCATACATTTTTGAAAAATATTTTTTTTTTTGACAGAAAAAAATATATATATTTTTGACTCAGTTTTTGATGTTGATTTCGAATATCATAATCATTTTGACCATAAATGAAAATATATTGGTCAAAATCGCCAAATACGAGCCGATTTTTTAGCATGTTATCCATGATATCGAAGTTTTTTTTTCGAAAATGAAAGCTTTTAGAAGAAATGGGTTGAGCAATCGATAGACCTCAAAAATCTATATCGAATGGTATATTGCACGGATTTTTTTAATTTATTTGAACATTAGGAAGATTTACTTTTTGCACTAGAGTCTCACTAATTAGTATTAATTATGACTAATTAGTGATTAAACGGCACAAAAGAAAGTCATATTTAAGATTTTTTAGCATGAAACTATATCTACAAATATTTTTCTACAAAGCTACATTAGAATGAACTAAATTTAACATTGATATGAAATACTGGAAAATTTTTAAAAAGTGCTTCTCAACCCAAAATATTTAATTAATTTTGAACTTAATTAATTAATAACTCAGCCAATAGTTAACCAAATCTTTTTCTTATTTCATAGGCATACCATTGAAGGTATTCTCTACAAACTGGCAAAGTTGGAGGGCATGTTTGGGAGAATACCTCCCCCCCCTCCGTAAAAAAAAAAAAAACGGAGAAACGAGAATGTAAGAAATTTTGATATAATTTCCTTTTAGACCGGGGTCAAAATTACATCGTCCTGTACCAGATATTTTAAGACTTATTTATCATACGACGAATCTTCTTATCATTGCTCTGTACGTTAATAGTCTCTTTTCTACAGATAACTGGCCTCTATAATATCACAAACTTGCAACAAAGTATTTTTCTAAATAGCACGGCAATAGAAGCCAAATGTAGACAACTGAATACTGTCACTAAATAATTACTCGACAGCTATATTAACAGTCATCATTTTTTTTATTATCACGCGACAATAAGAAAATAATTGTATTTGAAGGTCATCATTCTATAGAAAATAATCATTTTATGTCACGAAAGTTAAAAAAAAAGATTATTAAAATAGAATCATAATTGAAACATATTAAAGGTAACAATTTCGAAATTAAACATTGCGACTCTATCGATATATTTATACAAATTGCAAATCAAATTAACTAAAACAAGAAGTGTTCACAAAGAGTAATGTTGAATCAATTTGGTAAATCGAAAGAGATCTTACACGACAATTGTCGGCACAAAAATACCGATTTTCAAGATAAAATTTACTTTATTTAATTGAATATTCGAATTATATAAAAAATTGGACATTAACCAAAATAAGCAATATCATCGATGGCTACTCGAATATTCTTCAAGAAAACAGAAAGAATTTAGTACAGTCTTTCATTTCAACGATTTGATTGCTACACTCCCATGTTTCATTATCTCGTAATAGAATAATACTGAAAACAATCAAGACACAATGTTATTGCTTGAAAAGACATGAATAACTTATTTGATAATCTTTCATTTACTCGAATATTTTGCACTACTATGGAAAATATTGTTTAGATATTGTCTTTATACATATGTATATATATATATATGTATTTAGATTTATTATATAGCAGAATGAACATCAGTACAGTTGACTGTGGCAGATGGATTTGATAGAGAAATGCAAAACAAAACAAAAAAAAACAACAAGGACAATTTTTTTAACTGTTTCTATTGCTGTTCAAATTCGTCTACTGATGCTTCTTCAATAACAAGAAATATATGAGTTTGAGCACGATCAAATGTATTTAAATAGTCGATTAAATTATTTTGATTACCAATTAATTTTGGTCGAGATAATTTTGAATCAAAATTATAATATTGTTCTCCATCAATACTTTTTATAGTTAACCAATGACGCCCAGGTTTTGTCAATGAACGTACAATAGGTAAACGATCAAAAAATGGTCGTTCAACAGTTATATTTAATAATAAACCAAAACAATCTTTAAAATTAATTGTATTAAAAGATTCTGTACTAGCAATAATACGTATTGTATAACCTTGAAGTTTTAATGCATCAACAATAATTCTTAAATCATAATTACCCGTATAAAATGTTGAATATTCATTCCAAAATAATGATTTATCATATCCATGTACAATTGAATCAAGCATGTCTTTATTAAAAAGTTTTCTTTGAAAAAGACTATTTAACGCATGTAAAGCACATAATTGTAATTTTTGTTTTTCATGATATAATTTCATTTCTTCATGATTCATTTTAAATTATATACGTATAGACAACAAAATCGACTATTAAAATAATGATAAAAAGCAACACATTATCTAAAAAAGAAATCTATAAATTAATATTAGTTAAATATTCTTTGATATGGATATAACCCAATGTTTTTGATAAAATATTTACGCAGTTACTAAACTGAATTTTTTATCTGTCTCAATATGTATTTTATTTTTATGTCATATAAATCAGACTGTTTTGTGAAATCAGCATAATCTTGTGTTATTTAAATATAGAACTAATAAAATGTTGACTAATCGATATAAATCATTTCATTCTATCGTAATTGATACTCGTCAGTAGTGAACTATCAATTAGTGATAAAGCTTTGAGATCTAATATTTGATTAATATGTATCATCGAAAATTCTTATCGATTCCATTTGCAGTTCCTTCATCTTGTTAAGAATAAATTATATGAATTTTTTTTATTTGAATCTAACCTTACGCTGAACTCTAATCATTTATTGTTATCTATAATTGAGTTTAAAATGAATTAACAATACAAATTCATTAAGTGAGATTTTCTATAAACTACTCTGAATAGATGTCAATTTCAACCAAATTGAAAGTCTTTCTTTTTAGTTCCTAGTTACATTTCCGATAGCATTCATCAAAAAAAAGATAATAAAAGTAATTATAAAACAATAAACATACTTCGTTTAATAGTTTTGTGATTTCACTCAAGTCATGCTTTGTTTATTTCTGTTTTGTTTTAATTCATATTATTTCAACTGAATTAAAAACGTTGATAAATATTGATTAAAAATTAATAAATTAAACTATGTTAATAAATATATTTTTACAATATGTTGTTCATATTTTAAATGATAAACTAAAAAATAATCATGAATCAATGGTAACATTCTCATCAAATCATGACGATTAGTTTCATCATAGATGAATGAAGTTATGAATGTTCTGACATATGATAGAAACTTCGATCGAACGAATAAAAATCTTTTATTTTTCATGTGATCAACGACTACCGTCATCTATCTCAATTAACTTGGTTGATATTTTTTTCCTTTTCTTATTCTATTTTTTACACTAAAAAGATCTGCAGAGATGGTGAGAAGAAAGACGAAACATTTTCCTTTATTATTTGTCATCTATTTTTTTTGCCATTTCAGACGGACGAGATCATAAGTCTTCAACAAACTACTCACTGAAGCATTTGCTCTTCCTTTTCTATGCTAACTTCAAAATACCTTTATTCTTTGCATTTTATCTTGTTGTTCTTCAAAAATTAATTAAGACTAGTGATATTTGCTTCAACAATAAGAAAGAATCGGACCACATAGAGTCTCAAATCTCACCGTTCGCAGATTATTGAAATTTATTTATGATTCAATGAAGAATATTACGGTAAGTCGTTGAATAGTCATTTTAAACTAGTTCGGTCGGTTGTAGGTTACAAGGCTCAGTAGTGCCACCTTTCATTTCTTATTACCGACGTCGTCAGATATCTTGCTAATAAATTTATACTATAATAGTGCTTTTATTTCGTATTAGTCTCATCAGACAGAGCATTTAACCTTGCATCACTTACCACATGAATAAGTCTATTGAAAAACTTTTTCTGGTTCTTGTCGTCCATTATGTAAGTGTCAGTCGGCGGTATCTTTCTTAAAAACTTGGTTTTACCCGTAGATTTGTTGCTGAGAGAAATTCAGAGAGCGTAGTTGAAGTAAATCTTTATATAGCAATCGATAGAACTTTTCAAAAGCTACAAAATCATTTGTCTTTCAAACTCAACAAATATTGGCTACCTGAGTAGTTCAAAGCACATAAACCAATACGAAATTTAAAACTAGTATTGAACACAGAGTTGATTTATATGCATTTTAATTCTTTTTTTCGAATGTTTTCTTTCGTTGAAAAAAATATTTATCTAGACCTACGCATCATTGGTCAATGAGAAATAGAAATCTAAGAAGAAGTTGGTTAGACAGTTGAAATCAATGTCAAAGTTTATGACATGTTATTAAATCTTAAATGACAGATGATTAAATAATAATAGAAACTGTATGACGTATTTCTGTTTTTGATAGAATTCTGATGCTTATCATCTAGGTGACTTTTTCGACGGAAAAAAGCGTTCAAAAAAAACATTTTGAAAACCATTTAAATCGAATCCATTTCCGATGCTGATTCCGTGTCTAAGATTAGTTTTGACTTTAATGGTAATTTTTTGATTCAAAATCTAATAAATGATACTCAACGAAGCAATAAATAATGTTTAAAGAATAGTGTGCTACGAACTTCTCAGATAGTCAATATTTGTTGAATATACCAGATGCATATTTTTTGTTAATTTTGACCGGCACTATTGATTGCTTTCGGAAGATTTATTGCAACTGAATCCTATGACTTTCTCTTAGTCAATAAGCTAATGGACACAACCAACCTTTAGGCAAATATACCAATGATGTGCAATTGAATAATAAAGAAAAGGTACTGTTAGTTTTTTTCTTATCGTAATTAGTGCCGAGTTGAATGCTTTATCCGACGAGACTCATTCAAAATGAAAGCAATATTGCTGTTCAGTCTAAATGAATGTATTATTTCTAAGATATCAAATGTTGAAAACATTGAGTTTTCTTACCTTTCCTTGTAGCATACATCTCAAGAAGAACGCATCTCTTTAAGCTAAACTCTTTAAAACACTATAAGGTCCAGAAGATCAACTGATAGGCAAAATTTCAATTTGAAATTTTCTACTTCAGTTGCTTCACAGATATCGTGTTAAAGATAAAAAATAACTCAGTAAGATTATAATGACTTGGTAAGCTTAGCGCATTGAGACAAATCCTAATAAGCTTTTATATTCTCTTCAGAAACTTTCTTATGGGCATAATATCAGGTCGATAGGCGATGTTTTCTCATCAGTGTAGTTCCATCTAAGAACTATATGTCAAAAGAAAGAAAGATAGAGAAAACATCATGTAAGAGAACTGAGAACAACAGTGAGTAATAATGTAAATTAGTCCTTCTCTTTTTACAGCAGGCATACAGTGTTTTTTTTAAAGCATAATTTACTTTTCATTTTTGTAATGTCATTGTCAGCATGACACTTGTACTCTACACTTGTTTTTTTTTCATAAATAACTCCTAATTTTGTAGTAGGATACCTTGAAAATAATCATACATAAATTGCTTAATAATTTTTTAAGCATTATATTGTAATTTCACACTTAAATAGAGGAAATATTCAATTTCAAGTTTTTCATAACAAAGATGATAGATAAGCGATACTTGCTCTATTCAGCACAATTAGCTATACGTGTCACATAAATTAGATTTATTATATTTTTTTTTTCAAAAGCAAAGAAACACTGCCAACAAGAAATAACGATGTTATATCATGAAATTTGTTAAATTATTTTCTTAGTGTTTATGATAAAATGGATATTCATCGACAGATTCATTTAGTTTTATGGAAAAATTTTACTATTCGACGGCGACGATGGGTATGTTAAAAATCGAGTAAAAAACACACAGAATTTAATCTCTAATTTGTTCTATATATAGCCTCGAGTAATATTCGAATTAATATGGCCTCTGTTTTTATTTTTTATTCTTATGTGGGTACGAACAAGAAATTTAACATTGCATTATGATGCTTGTAAGTTTGTTTGGTTTTATTCTCTAATGAGTTAGTCTTTTTTTTTTGACTGAATTTATTCAGGTCATAATGATCCAAAATATCTTGGATCAACAGGATTTTTACCTGCATTACAAAGTTATATTTGTCGATATAATAATACATGTTATAATCAATCGAAAACAACGGATCAATTCAATGATGCAAAATCGTTTGTTTTTTTTTCTTCTTTTTTTAATTAAATAAGTTTTTGTTTGTTTTCTTTACAAGATTTTGGAATCTAATTTTAAATGTAACTGATACTCTTTCGATTATTGTCAATGACGATGAAGTATCTAGTAATTTAAGTGAACTTTTTTCGCAAATAAAATCATTAGACATTTTAACGAATATTTGGAATGGTAAGAAATATACATTTGAGTGTGATCAAATATTGATTTTTTTTTTCTTTATTTAAAAAATAATAATAAAGGTTCTATTTGGGCAAATAAAAGCGTCGATGATTTTAATCAATCAATACCAATAATAATAATTACAGAACTTTTTGCCAATCCAATTAATTTATCAAATTTTTATCAATACTGGTTTATGAATGAAACTCAAAATTCATTATCAAATTTAGAAATAGCATCAAAAATCTATTTTGCATTTATACAAGGAAATTTTTCTTTTGTAAATCAAAACGAAAAGAATTAAATAGATTTTTTCAATTAATTTTCATTTATTTTAGTTCTATCAATCGGAAATAAATATTCAACAATCATTTTGTATTGATGGAGAATTTAATAGAACGTTTTTAGTTAATTCAATACAAATAAATGAAACAATAAATTTTTTATGTAATAATTTATCAGCGATTGATTTAAAAATGTTTTTAATTAGTGTACAACAACAACTTAATGAAATATTTATTGTAACAAAAAACCAGATTTTAATTAGGATTCTTTTTATTTATGTTTTATTTAGGCTGATATGGTACCACTTATAAATGACATCAAGGTGATCTGTTTTTATTGTTTGAATTTTTAAATAGAAATTTATGTGTTTTAGATTGTTCAAACAGTACTAAAACTTCGTGATCGTCTAGAAATACTTAATGTTAGCTTTCCATTCGAAGAAAGTAATATTAGTATCAGGTAAGGTTTCGTGATACAAATGTTTCTAATTACTTGAAATTAGTTTTGTATTTTAATATCAAAGAAATAAGAGTCGAGTATGATATAACACTGAAATGATATTATCTATAGTTCAATCTATTTGAGAAATATTTTTGTCAAGTTGTGTTGACTACTGCTTGATGTTTACATCACTGTGATATAGGACCTTCATTGATTGATTTTGCACTGATAAATACATCTTATTAGAAGATTTGTTATTGGACAAAAATATCTAATTTTATAGAAACATGTGCAAGGTATTCGATTCTTTGTTGTTTCTTTTTTCGAATCAATCACATTAGAAAGAAGTATCAAAAGTTACAACAATGAGGATGTAAAAGCATCTAATTTAGATCTTTTTTGGTAAATATGAAGGTCTCCAAAGAACCCATTTCCGTCACAATGATCGATATTAAGATCAATGCATAGAAGGACAGCTTTTAAGTCGAGTCTTTCATAAATAATAAGATTTTTTATTTAGCACCGTGTTTTTTGTCAGAAGTTTTCAATGACTTCCGTCATCTTCTGCTTGAAAACTAGATTTTCTTTCAGAAAAAGTGAAAAATATTTTTTCGCTTTTTCTCTGTTTATCTTTTCTGGTCACGCATAGCAGAATTCTCGGAAAGAAAAAGTAGTTTATCGACTATTTACACTGTGAGACTTTATCCCAAGGTAGAGGAGGTCTTACACAATGGCGACTGTTCATAAATCTACTTTGAAATTCCGTCGATCATAAGATGTAAAAAAACAAGAAAAGTTTTCTTCTATAGATCGAAAACTTATAAGAGCATTACTTTTACGCATAATACTTATTACTAACAAAGAAATCATAGAAGTGATTCCTCCTTGTTGAGTTCATATTTTGATTATATAGAGAAAACATCTCGATTAAAATAACCTAAAAGTCATTCGAGCACATAAGGCTTTTTTTTAATAGAGTTATAAGAGTTTTGTTGATTTTTTTATCAGACAAGGAAGTATTAGAAAAAAACACAATTTAATAAAAAGTTTCGAATTTGAAATTTTTTCTATCGGTAGATCTGATGATTCTAAACATCTCCTAAAAATTTTCAGTAACAATAATTGTTTCCTTTTTGATATATCCAAAAATCAATTAGATTTGACAAATGGTGAGAAAAATCGACCGCTTTTGAATACTTCGAGAAGGATATAATTACTTCAATTTGCCTTCGTCTAGTGAAAACTCAGCAAAACTGTCAAAAAAGACTCTAAAAACCTATCTCTTCAAAGCCGGTCTTCTAAAGATCTTGTCAAATCTCAAAACAAAACGTTTTGTCTTAGCAGCATCGAGAGATTCTGAAGAAGAATTTGTACTGTTTGTAATTTGTTTTGAACTTCTCATTCAGTGATAAGAGCTTTTTTTCATTTATATACTCGTACTCTGCCACGTCATTCATGAAAAGAATGTAGTAGCTGTTGCTAATCACAGGAAGATTGTTTCGGTCAATCTGTTTTGAGACACCTTCCTTCATTACCATTATACTTGGTTCTCCTGAAATGCAATTAGAACATAATTCATATATTACAACGAGATGTTATAAATATACTGTCTTGGATCGTATATCAACAATGTCTGTGACATCCGTAAGGAGAGAGAACAGGAAGCTCTAATTTCTACTCTATACGTCAATGCTCCGTTTAGACTGTGTGTCACACATTACCACGTTGCAAAAACTAAATCGGTTGTTTTTTCGAAAAACTCTAGGCATGCTTCAAAAAACTTTGGATAGAGACTTTGTAACCTCAGGAGTTATCTACAGAATGTGTTCTTCAGTTTTGCTTTAATTCAGATTCTGTTAGACTAAACTACATGAAGTGAAAATCGATGTCGATTTTTTTGTAAAGTCACGTCGCTCACGAACGGGTTTGTCCATATCTTCTCAAAACATAAAATCACAATTAATGAATCACTTCCAGAAGTTCTCTCGATTTGTGATATCAAATAGAATGTTCTGTTTAATTGCACTAAATTTCATTTTGATAATGTTTAAGCTTCAGTTTAAATTCAATATGTGGCGGTCGCAATGATCTTTCACAATATTCAAATCAAAATCAATTTGCAAAAAGTGAAGATGAACAAACTCGAAATGCTCAAACACGTTCAACAGATGATGGATTCTTATTTGGTATTGATTGGGATAGTTTAGCAATAAACTTACTTACATTTAACGAATCTGAAATGTGTGAACAAACATATATAACAGGTTCTAGTAATACAATGGAAATCATAACCGTTAATCGTTCATGTCGTTGTGTTTTATTTGATCAAGTACTTAATTCAAATCCTATATTAAAACAACTTTTAAGCATTGTACGTCCTATTTTATATGGAAAAATATATTATCATCCATCAAATATTCATTATGATAATATAATAAAACAAATTAATCAAACATTTGAAGCATTAGATGAACTTGTTCATTTATTTCGTCGAATACGATTAACATTTCAACCAACATATGATATATTTCAATTAATCTGTAATATATTTAGTAATTCATCATTTATTTGTGACCAATTATCAACATATAAATCAGCAATAAATACTCTAACCATTTTAACAGAATTTATTGCTTGTACAGAACTTAATCGTTTTATAGCAATGAATAATCAATTAGATATGATACGTGAAGGACAAACTAAATCTGTAACAAATAATTTTTTAGCTGCTATTGAATTTATGAATAAAATAACCAATAATGATAGTTTACCAAAACATATTCAATTTAAAATACGTATGACACTTGATCACGTTGATAATACATTTCGAACTGAAGATCGGTAAAATAAATAAAAAAAGCGAAAGTAATCTTAGAAATTCTCATTCGTTTCTTTTGTTTTTGCATAGATATTTTTCATATGCACCTCGTAGTAGTGCACCATCGTCAACAAAATATCATTCATATGTATTTATTTATTTACAAAATGCTATTGAACGTGCTATAATTAGTGCACATACGGGAAAAACTGTATCATATGGTATACAAACTCAACAAATGCCTTATCCATGTTGGATTAATGACAAGTAAATAAATATTTTTTTTTTGTATTTTTCTTGAATTAATAAAAAAATTATTTATTTATCATTTAGATTTGTTAATTCGATTAGTCGAATGTTACCATTATTAATGGTATTAAGTTGGATATTTACAGTATCTATGAATGTTAAAGATATTGTACACGAAAAAGAAAAGTAAGATAATATATGTAATGAATATAATAATAACATTGCATTTGTTTTATTTTCAAGACGATTAAAAGAAATAATGAAAATTATGGGTTTAAAAGATTCTGTTCATTGGTTTACATGGTTTGTTTTATGTACAACTATTATGATATTAACAGCGTTTATACTTGTTCTACTTCTAAAAGTAAGTGTATTCATACAGTCGATATAGGAGTTTATGAGAGTTTGAAATAGCTAATTGAAGATCTAGACATAAATATCATGATAAAGTATAGATCAGATATTTAACAAAAAAAACCAAATCTATCAATCAACATAACAACAAAAGATACTCACTATGGTTTACTTTTGTTGAAACGATAAGGACATTGATTAATGATTAGATAAATACATAGATTCATGCTGAGCTTTGCTAGTGTTCAAAGAATTTTTAACCATTTCAAAGGTTGTGGTCATTATTTGCATTCAAGTACAAATAGAAAAATTCTGTACAGAAATTAAGCAATTTTTACTTAGAGTTTTTCAATTGTATGAAATACTTTCATCTTGAAATAATAGACAAATGTTTTAGCTGATAAAAATCATTAGAATCATCTGTCGCCAACTCTTTTCTAATTCTCTAGTTACTACTATTATTCTTCCACTTAACGTTTTTTACAATCGATAATTCCTCCATTTTAAGACGGTTTGAGCTCAGAACTTCACATCATCTTTCATATATCCACAAGTATATATGGAGAAAAACCTTAGTTCGTTTCAACTTATATTAATTGAAATAGTACTTTTTTCCTAATAAAACAGCTCTTACGACTGCCAAAGTGAGAATGGCTGATCTTCTCCAAAACAAGCCATAAGTACGAGCTTTTTTTTCACCATAGACACAGCTTACTAAGGTCTACAAGATGCGTTAACTCCCGACTTGAAAGCGTTCGGGCACCTGAGAATGTTCCCTCGTAAGTTGGAATTTTCCAAGTAATAGAAGAGAAAAAGCATTGATTTTTACCAACATAGAAATTTTCTATCGTTGGCATTTACTTTCTTTCACTATCTCTAGTTTATGTTTTTATTTTAGAAAAAAATATTCAATTCTAAAGGTTTTTAGCAAACAAGATATCTTAATCCATGTCATTATTACATGAGTGAATCATTTTTAAGTACATAGTATCAGATATATTTTTCTTCCTACACCAAATCAACGCATGAAGAAGAAACAAAAAGAAAAGAATAGACACCGTACACAATAGAATATCTTGATCTCCCTCTTCTTGTTTTTCTTTTATTTCATTCATTGTCTCATAGTCTGAATTCTTTTCCATCTATCTCGAATAAATGGAATATTTTCATCGACTATACTTTTTAAAAAATGACTAGGCAGGAAAAACAAATAACATATTGTCAAAGAACATACTAATAGTTGTAGAACATGAAAAGCACTTTCGGTAAAAAATGCTATTGTTGTACAAGTAAAGGGTTCTTTGAGCACTAGCAAATCATATCATGACTCTACCTATTCATTATTTGAAAAACACTGAGAGAAGTGTATCATGCATATAAATAACAGAGATGTCCATCGCGGCAGCGGCAGATTTTTTCCAAAAACTATCGCGGCGCGGCAGTGGCGCGGAAGAGATTTTTATTTTGCCGTCGCGGCAGCTTTTTAGGAAAAAATTTCAAAAATTCATGAATTTGCACAGAATCTGCATGTTTATGTATGCTATATTGTAAGACTTAGCGAATCTGATCGATTAGCGGCATCAGTTCTATTTCAAACCAGTCAAAGCCTTGAAAATCAAAACATTTTTTCGAATACCAGCGCGGCAGCGGCGCGGTAGCGGCAAGTTCTTTTTTAAGACGCGTCGCGGCAGCTGCGCGGTAGCTTTTTTTAACAGGCCATCGCGTCGCGGGAGCGGCGCGGCAGCTTTGTTTGATTTTGGCCGCGGCGCGGCAACGGCAGATTTTGAGCCGCGATGGACATCTCTGATAAATAATCGTCTTTTAGTCATTTGCAGATCTGCTACAATCATCTGTTATTGTTTATATCATCTTAAGCGAAAGTAATCTATTATGTATGTTTTTGTTATTCAGTAAAAAGGTAAAAGATTGTTGTTAATGTTACTGATTGATAGATTATTTTTTTGACATATTGATCAATTTTTGTAAAATCTTTTTTGCTCATAAAGTTTCGTCGTAAAGACAAATTGCAGTTGTTCCCAACGCGAACGGAAAAAAATTGTAGACGATTAAACTGATTGATTTACACTATTGAGCTTTATTCATATCAAAAGTTATTCAAAAAGCAGTGAAACACGTTACATTTTCAAGTGAATAGTAGAAATCAGGTCAATTGTACTATTGAATGGATATCTTCTTCATATTTGTCTTTCACATTTGTGAGATCTTAAATAATTATCAAATGAATAAGTATCTGGTTTTATTAAGAATTGAATCAGTTATCTCCGAAACTGATCTCTGTTTTGTAATCTTATATGCGTTCAATATATTCACTAAATCATGATAAAATAAATAAAATTGGTTTTAAATCAATATTTACTTATTACATAATGTCTTTTATAGTTTGGAAAAATTACACAATTTTCAAATATTTTAATATTATTTCTATTTTTCATTGCTTACACATTGGCTACAATTAATCAATGTTTTTTAATAAGCGTCTTTTTCAATCGAGCTAATTTAGCTGCTTGTGGTACTTATATAAAAATTAAATATTTTTAATTTAAAAAGAAAAGTTAATCTTCTAGGAGCTGGAATCATATATTTTCTTCTGTATTTACCATATACTATTTTAATTAACTATGATACTCAAGTAAAAACATGGCAAAAAACGATTGCAGTAAGATATTTTAAGTTTCGATTAAAAAACAAACAAACTTAAATAAATATTTTTATATTTTTGTAGTGTCTTTCATCGACAGTTGCTTTTGGACTTGGTTGTGATTATATCGCTCGATTTGAAGGTATGGCTAAAGGTATTCAATGGCATAATATACGTCAAACTGCAAAACCTTACGATACTTTTACGTTTCTTTATTGTATTATAATGATGTTAATCGATTCAGTCATATATATGTTATTAACTGTTTATATTGAAAATGTATTTCCCGGTAATAATAAATAGAAATGATGAAATAGATTTGAATTTTTCCTTTTGAGTATTTAGGTGAATATGGTATTCCACAAGTATGGTATTATCCTTTTACAAAGACTTATTGGTTTGGTTTCGATGCAAAAAAAATTCGTCAACGTACAGAAGAAATGGAATCTCGAGTTAATCAAAATCAAAATGGTTCATATTTTTTGTTGCTTTTGTGTAAAAAACATATTTGTGTCTTTTTTTAGTTGAAAAGAATCTAGGCGATATTGGTGTTGAAATAAAAAATTTATCGAAATATTATGGAAATAAAATGGCATTAAAGAATTTATCGATAAAATTTTATCGTAATATGATAACAGCATTTCTTGGAAGAAATGGAGCTGGAAAAAGTACAACATGGTCAATATTAACTGGTTTAATACCACCATCAAGTGGTACAGCATATATTGACGGTTATGATATATTAACAGATATAAAAATTGTACGACAACGACTTGGTTTTGCTCCACAATATAATATATTATTTGATTTATTAACAGTTAAAGAACATTTAGAATTTTTTTCTGAGTAAGATCATTTACTAATTTTTGCATAAGCAAAGAATTGTGTTTTTGTTTTTATTGATTAGATTGAAAGGTTCACCACATGAATTAATTCAAAGTGAAACAGAAAAAATGTTAAAAGATTTAGCATTAGAAAAAAAAGCAGAAAGCTATTCAACAGAATTATCTGGTGGCATGAAAAGAAAACTTTCGATTGCTATTGCTTTTATTGGAAATTCAACAACAGTTATTTTAGATGAACCAACAGCAGGTATGAATAACTCATGTAAAATTCTATAAACAAAACATTTACTAGGACAACTAAGTTTTGCTCGAATAGCGAGGGTCGAAATTTGGGAAAATATCTCACATGGTGACTATTAAAGTTCAAAAACAAAAGTCTTTGTGAGGGAGATTCCACTTCCATCAAGTGCTACTTTCGCGTGATCTTAGCCGAAAAACTAAATCTTGGTTGAAAATATAAGATCAACGTATTTTTGAGTTTTTTCTACGATGACAAATAATTAAATCAAATCTAAATAGTATTTCAAATAGTCAATAAAGCTGTCGATCGAATGTATTTCATAGCTGAACTATGAAAAGAGGATTTTAAAAGTACCATATGGAAGAATATAAAATTCTAAATAGGATGATAGTTTACTGCATATCCTATGACATTTCTTCACGCATAAGTTTTTAAGGCAAGTTCATAGGAAATATGTCAATTTCTCAGTTTGTTCAGAATTGTATGCTCCTTAATATGGTATTCTTAAAACTTAATTTTCGCACAGTCTTCTAGGACTCGATACTGCCCATGCTGAGTTTTCCAAAAAAAACTGCATTTGCTATTCAAAAGACTATTTTGATTTGAAATAAATGCTTCATTTCGTTGAGAAAAGAATTAAAAGTAGACTCATCCTATATTTTGTACCAATACTATACTGAAAAGCGGATATTTCGCCTTCTCTATGAAATAAGAAAATCGAAGATTTTCCTAGAAAACTATTTAGTTAAGAATTTTGACACCGGCAAATCATTAATATGTATTTAAGTAAGAATTAATTGACATTTGTCTTGTTTCCGTTCGTCTTCATTCTTAGTAGAGATGTAATACTGATAATATGGTATCATCTCGACAGTCTTGTGAAGATAAATTCATCATAAATCTGCAGTAATATTTAGATTTTCGTACGATTTAGAATTGTTTATACTGTGAACAGTTAATAGAATAAAAGCTTCGGCTATCGTCGTTAGATGTTTATTTACTATTCTATATAATATTCATAAAACAAATTTAGACTAAGGCATAGAATTTGTGTCTATTCGAATTACTCAAATAGAAACTTCGAAATCTCTTGTCTGTAGAACAAAAACATGTGAAAGATTTTTTTTAATAGGTGTTGATCCATTTGCTCGACGTGCAATATGGGATCTTATATTAAAATATAAACCCGCACGAACAATTGTTTTATCAACACATCATCTTGATGAAGCTGATTTACTGAGTGATCGTTTAGCAATAATTTCATCGGGAGAATTAAAATGTGTTGGTACAACAATGTATTTAAAACAAAAATACGGTGAAGGTTATAATTTAATTATTGAACTAGCATCAACATCAAATGACAATGAACATAGACGACAACAACAACAACAACAAGAAAATAATGACAATTCAACAACTAATAAAATTTCTTCTGTAAATTCAATACGTTTTTTAAAATTAACTGAATTTCTTCGAAAATATATGTTTGATATTCATATAAATGAAGAACATGGTGATCAAATAACTTATGTTATAAAAGATGATGTTGAACATACAAAAATATTTCCAATAATGCTTGCTGATCTTGATGAAAATAAAACAAAATATCATATAAAAACGTATGGTTTATCAAATAGTAGTCTTGAACAAGTATTTCTTCGTGTTGCTGATGAAATAAAACGACCAGAAGATTATGAACGTTTATCAACTTGGAAAAATATTCAAAATCGTTTAAGAAAATTATTTAGAAAACATGAAGAAGTAATCAACCAAACAAATGACAATGAAAATAATGATGATCAAATACAAATGAACACACGATTGAGTGGTAAGATCATTGAAAAAAGGAATCTTTCTATAACCTCTAGTAACTGAGACGTAGGAAATAATCATCAGAAGAAAGGTCAAAATTCATTGGATATATTTCCATTGGCAACGGAAGACAATCGGCATCCTACTACTTTCCCGAAGTTCCTTAACAGCAAAAAAAAGATACTGAACAGCATTGACAACAGAACTAAGAATGTCCCAGAACATTCCAAAACTTTTCTCGAAATTCGAATCACTGGAATACATTTATGAATGTTCTAAATAGTGCAGTTTTCTATCTTTGCACAGACGACAGTTTATATTCATGATGAGTAATGATGGAATAATTCAATGTCAGTGTTTGTTAGCTTATTGAGATTAGAATAATAATAATATTAAATTAAGAAAATGAGAATGCAAAAAATACAGCAACAGTTAGAAAGAATTGAATTTCTGTTCGAAATGCAGAATTAAAGAAGACAAATTGTTTTCTTTGCATGACTATTAAATAATAATTCTCAATCTTTATAGACGAATGGAGTCCATATACAGCTGACCGATATACAGGCATACATTATATTGCTATACAAATAATGGGTTTAATTATAAAACGTTTTCATCGAACAAAACGTAATAGAAAAGGATTTATTGCTGAAATTCTTCTTCCGATCTTTTTTATATTACTGGCTATGCTTGTTATAAAATTATCACCAAATGAAAATGAACCACCAATTCTTATACTGCATCCATGGTACTGGAATAAACCAAATTATATATTTCAATCATTATCAAGCGATGATACTTCACTTATATCGGAATCAATTCAACAAACATTCACTCAATCACCATCATTAGGTACACGTTGTATAAAAACGACACTGTTAAATAAAAATCTCTATCCATGTATGAACAAAAATCTTGATCGTGTTTATGCTTCAACAAATGCGGAAGTAATGAATGCATTAAATAATGTTAATTATAATCAAACACGTATATCACCTGAATGTGATTGTTGGGAAAAAATGCAAACATGTCCAATCGGTAGTGGTGGACCAGCAGCTAATTATGATATTACTCAAACAGGTGATATTTTATATGATTTACAAGGATTTAATATAACGGATTGGTTAGTCAAAACTGAATATAATATTGAATATTTAATGAAACGTTTTGGTGGTTTTGAATTTCTATCACAACCCATATCGAATAGTTATGATATTTTAAATGAAACATTAATCAATCGAATAATGAATATAACTGATGGACGAAATCAATTATTATCTATGCCTAATGCATCGAAAATTCCTTCACTCTTTCAAATTTTTCCACCACAAGTTTCGGTAAATATTTATTTTTTTAACATATTCCATCGAACTATCTTTTAGACGATAACTATCAATGTTTTATAAATTTATGAACACTCGATTTAGTTCAACATTGCATATTTGAATACAATCTATATATTTTTATTTTAGGTTTGGTATAATAATAAAGGATGGCCATCAAGTGTAGCATTTTTAAACATATTCAATAATGCTTTATTAAGAGCTCTTCTTTTACAAGATAATTCATCGATCGATATTGATGATTATGGTATAACAGCAATAAATCATCCATTACCACCAACTGAACTTCAAATAGATAATGATTTACAGAGTCGTTCTGCATTAGAAATATTTACAGCAATATGTATTATATTTGCATTAGCCTTTATTCCAGCAAGTTTTCTTGTTTTTCTTATTGATGAACGTATAACAACATCGAAACATTTACAATTTGTTAGTGGTATTAAAGGTAACAATAGATAATTCGATTGTATATTACTTACATTGGATATTTTGAATCAGATCAAAAAAATAAAAATAAAAATAAATTTCATGAGAATTCTGTTTTTATTGTTTAGCTATTTGCTATTTGGAGTTTTACTATCGTTTTATAACGTTAGAACTTAACTGTCACAAAAGTTTTCTTTCAAAAAAAAACTTGGTGAAAATATTTAAAACACAGATCCTACTGAATATCAGGGATGAAAACAAGAAAAATCTTATCTCAAGAACAGTGTCCTTAGGATTTCATTTATAACAGTTCGACATAGAAGAAATTAAATTTTTCGATGGGGTTAATTTCAATATGTATCAACTTCCGTCTGATTTGTTTTTCTTTGGTTCAGGTATAACTTATTGGTGTGGAAATTTTCTTTGGGATTTAACAAATTATTGTGTATCAATAGCATTTTGTATAATTATATTTCTTATATTTGATATTGAAGCCTATGTATATAAAACAAATTTTCCTTGTCTTCTATTATTATTATTTCTGTATGGTTTTGCAATAATACCATTAATGTATCCAATAAGTTACTTTTTTAAAACACCATCAACTGGTTTTATACTTATATCATGTATTAATATATTTATTGGTTTAATAACAACAATATCAACATTTACATTAGAAAATTTTAATGATGACATAGATCTTAAACGTGTCAATAATATTTTAATGAAATTATTTCTTATTTTTCCACATTATTGTCTTGGTCGAGGTTTATTTGATATGAGTAGAACACATGCAATTAATGTATTTAGTCTAAAATATGGTTTGTTTATTGTATATTTCTATTTAAAAAAATATACACTTTATAGATATTTTTTAGTTCCTGGTTATGTTCCAATATCACCATTTCAAATGAATATTGTTGGTCGAAATTTATTAGCATTATTTTTTGAAGGTATCATCTTTTTTCTATTGGCTATTCTTGCTCAATATCGGTTTTTTATACCTGATCGGTAAATAATACATAAAAAAAAATTCATTTTAAATCTATTGCTTTTTTGCTCTAATAGTGGTTGTGTTCGTACACCAAAAAATTTAAAATCACTTAATGAAGATGATGATGTTGCTGCTGAACGAGAAAGAATTTATTCTGATCCTAATAATACAAGTTATGATGTTTTACGAATGGTTAATTTAGTAAAAGTAAAGAATCGAATATAAAATCTAAGAAAATTTTCAAAGATTCGTCTATGGTTTTTTTTTTGGTATAATAGGTTTATGGATGGATATTTGGTAAAAATTTTACAGCTGTTAAACAAACATGTGTTGGTGTTAAACAAGGTGAATGTTTTGGTTTATTAGGTATAAATGGTTCAGGAAAATCAACAACATTTAAAATGCTTACTGGAGAAATTTCAATGACAGATGGAAATGCATATGTAAATAATTATAGTGTTATTAAACAATTAGATGATGTTCGACAAAATATTGGGTAATGTAGATTTATTTTTCATTTAAAATTTTAATTATTGAAGTATTTGTTTTTAGTTATTGTCCACAATTTGATGCACTTGATTCATTATTAACAGCACGAGAACATCTTTATTTTTATGCTCGATTATGTGGAATTAAACAACAGAATATTCCATTTGTAAATGCGGTGTCTTTTTTTTTTTTGTTTATCGAAAAACATAATCATTGTATTTTATAGATTGCCGATTGCTTATTAAAACGACTTGGTCTTACGCTTTGGGCTGATCGACCAGTGAAACAATATTCAGGTGGAAATAAACGAAAACTATCAACAGCTATTTCACTTATTGGAAATCCAACAATCATATTTATGGATGTAAGTTTATTTGAAGATACTACAATGATTTACCATTATATTTGAGATTAGTTTTACAAAAAATCTTATTTACATATGGCAGTCAGAAAGTAATGAGAATGATACTTTAGTTTCTCATAAAAAGCTTTAAAAACATTTCTTTCTATATATTTTGATAGAGAAAACAATGCTCTATTCTTCTATGCTATTTAATCATATCTCAATTAATCTAATGATAATAAATTTTCGATAAGAATGTTTTCGCTATCATATCTAC